TTTGACACAAATAAATTGCTAAAAATAGAAAATATATAATTATGAAGAAAATGTTATCGCTCCATTTTTATTGTTTAATTTTTTAACGATAAATGTGTATAGATAAAATTATATCAAACACGCGAAAGATAAACATTGAAAAGATAACTAATAAAAAAAATTACTGCATTTAATTTTGGAATCAAAATAGATTTTTTAGATACTATTTAGGAGTTTTAGGCTCTTATAGTGTGGATACTTATTAGAATCTATGGGATTTTTTAAAATCTTACTTATCTAAAGTTTTCATATGTATAACTTCAGCCATCGAGTCTTCAATGGTCGACTCTTATACTATAAAATAAAAAATGTTTACAATTTAGTTCTATAAATTAATCTACAAATCCAGCATTCTAATTGCACTGCATCAATCAATATGTCTTTTTACCCTTATATTGATTCTGAAAATATTTTCTACTGATCTAATATCATTCTAGTCATATGATCGTTTTTCAATGATGATTTTGCCATGAGCAAAGCGATTCAATTAGCTTAATTGCAATGTGTGCATACCTTGACCGATTTTATTTAATCCAAATGGAAACAATAGTATTTTTGAATTATTCGAAGCTAGACGACAAATATTTAAACTGGCCTATTTCATTACAAATGCTATCAACTTATCTTCAAGGAGCTTTGCGTAGACGTAACAGATTATGAATGACGTTATAAATACTTCAATTTTTAGAGGTAGTCAAGGTAGGAAATGAATAAGAATATTTTATGGAATAAACTGAGATCATCCTGTTTTAGAATTTTTACAATTTAATTTCAAAAGCTTCCATGGAAAGAGCCTCTTGAAAGAATCTGTCAAGCCTTAACGGAATGGTAAATTAATTAAGGCTTTTCTGAAACTTGTAGTATCTGCTTCATGTTTTAGAAACCTAAAGTGCTCCTCATAAGGTTCTAGATTTTAAATAAAGTGCTTAAAGGTGTTAATTAATTTTGGTAATATTTTTCATAAGTTCAAAGTTTTTTCTTACAACGTAAATTGCTGAAGTGACGCTTTTCCTTATCGTTTATAAAAATTAAATCGCAACAGAATGACTCGACGTTTTTATATTTTATTTTAAGACTGTTGATACAACAAGTGGATTCTCATAATTTTGCTTCTTATTTTCGTATAAGGTGACAACTTTTTTGTGTACAAAATGAATTCAAGCATAAACCATTTGATAATGAAATGATTTAATATTATCATCATATTTCCGGCGTATTCTGGGAACTCTATAAGCGCTACGTGCGAATTGTCAGGCAGTGTTTTATGGGGATAGGATGTCTCTAATATTTATCTACAATTATTATTTCAATGACATCTTAGTTCTATTGTATATAATTTATTCTGTAAAAAGATATGCAACACAGTTTTGTTTTTATTACACAGCAATCAGAACTTAACGAGTCCTGTGAGCTGTGCTGACTTCTTAAACGACTTTTTATACTTTGCAACTCCAATGGTTGTCCTTAAACTTTATATGAAATTGTAGTGAATTTGTGCAAATTGTAGAAAAAAGTGCCCGGAACAATATTTTCAGGATATTTTAAACAAATGTCTTGGACTTGGAATATATGAGAGAGTTTTGTTCAAAGTTTTCGTTGCTGCAACAGAAATTAATTTTGTGAATTTTTTGTGCACGTTCTTGGCCTATATTATAAGCAAAAGAAATTCTAAAAATAAATATTTACAATTTGCACATTATTTGGATGTCTTGTCTCTACATTTCTTTTCCATTCCAGTCATTTTATTAGCCGCAACGGTTTGTTTTAAATTGAATATTTATAAATCCAGAATTTCGACGTAATACTTTATAATGTCTAAACAATATAATTTTGCAATATCATCGTGACATGCATGAATGAATGGAAGCGTTAAGTTAAATGAATACGTGAGCGCGACTTCGAACTATGTCTGATTTGATAATGAATTTGATTAATGGGACAAGGGACAAAGTCTCACAAAACTAATACACAAAAAAACGTGTTTACGAATCGTTCACTGCTCTGTTTATTAAATAATTCCAAAATATTTTATGGAAATAACTGATTACAACCAGATGCGGGGTCTTTACGATGATCTCGTGATGGTAATATATATACATCCAAGATCATCGAAAAGACTCATCATCTGGTTGTAGTCAGTTTTTAAATAAAATAATTCGGAATTATTATTTCCATTACTTTTTTACTTGTTATATTTTTATAATAAAGATTGTTTATGAGTATCACCACTGGGATGATTTTAAGTATTCAAAGATCGATCACGTACATTTTTCTTTACAATTTTGCTCTAGTTTTTATAAAATTGATTTTTCTTGTAAATCTATTCATCGTACTAAAAATGTCATAAAATGTATACTGATAATTCTCGGAAATCATAATCTTCTCCTTCGGGAGCTTAAGTTTATTAGGAGGTTACAGTACTAGAAATATTGGATGCAGCACTAAGTTGATTAGTGTGAATTATTATTATGTAATATCAATGTTACAAATAATATTTTTAAGAATCTATATTTATTTCATATCTATTTCAATAATTAATCTGTCCCTATAGTATTATACTTAATATTTTTTTATTTTAGGTATGTACACCATGCGAATGCTGGACGCAGCCCACCAGCAACAGCAGAGCAACGCGACTCAGCAGCAGGGCGCTAGCAGCGGCGTAGTTCTCCAAAACGGCGCCACAGCCATGGTAGGCGTTAGCGGTTCTGGTCACGGGGCATCAGCCTCTGGACACACCGGCGGAACCGACCGCATGGACGCGTCCAGCGACAGCGCCGTCAGCTCAATGGGCTCCGAGCGCGTTCCCTCGCTCAGCGACGGCGAGTGGGGAGAGAACGGCAGCGATTCCGCTCAGGATTATCACCATCACCAGCACCACAGGTAATTGATTTATAACCAAATAAATATAATAATAACTGCATTTTTATGAAGTTGAAATTATCAAAATTTGTACTTGAAACAATTCTAGTATGACCATCCATTACTATTTTTTAGCAAATACAGTCCATATGACTACAGCTACAATACTAGCAGTAACAATGGTACCGCCTCGATATCCTCGCGCCAGCCTCCTGTTGCTCAGAAGAAACACCATATGTTTGCCAGAAGATACTTCCAAGAACAAAACAGTCCACCATCCTCCAATGGAAACCATCTCAGATCTCTGGCTCCTCCTTTAGCTCCACATGTGAGCACGCCTGTGAAGTTTGAATATGAACCAGGGCACTACACTGGGCCTGGTCATATGTTACCAGGGGTTGATGTTATTAATGGTCACAAAACAACAGGTAAATTGACTGAAAATAAATTGTATTACTCTGATCTTCAACTTTAGATTTAATATATGTTTATTATTTATTAGAATTTATGCCTGAAATGAAGTACTCCTGTACAATGGACTTTGCTCGTCAGCAGAGCATTAGGGCAGCTTACGATCCTATAGCCCATAATCACACCTACCACATGCCACCCCACATGGCAGGTGCTACTCCAAGACCTCAGACGAGGGACAAAAAGGACAAGCAACGGAAGAATGGAGACAGTCCTGAAGAACATTTGACAAGAGATGAGAAAAGAGCAAGAGCCCTGAATGTACCAATTCAAGTTCATGATATCATTAACTTGCCTATGGATGAATTTAATGAGCGTTTGAGCAAACATGATCTCACAGAGTCTCAGCTGTCTTTGATCAGAGACATCAGACGCCGTGGAAAGAATAAGGTAATAATATAATATTAATGTAGTCATACATTTTTTTCAACATTGTAATAATTATATATTTAGATTAGGTAAATTAATTATTAATGTATTGCTTGATGTATTAGGTTGCTGCTCAGAATTGCCGCAAACGAAAGCTGGATCAAATAGTTTCTTTGGCTGATGAAGTCAAAGATATGAGGGAACGAAAACATCGACTACTCAGAGAAAGAGATCATGTCATTAACGAGAGGCAACGTATTAAGGATAAGTTTGCTCAGCTGTACAGACATGTGTTCCAGGTAAAATAAATAGTGCATTACATATAATAAGCAATTTTATATTTTGAATTATTAAAATAATTCCTGTTTTTACAGAATCTTAGAGACTCTGATGGAAATCCTTATTCCCAGTATCAATACAGTCTTCAGCAAAGTGCTGATGGTTCTGTTGTTCTTGTACCGAGATCCAATAACAGTCTTTTGGATCAAGGTTCAGTCACAAACTCCACAAACGATAGCATGGACCCTACAATTTCTAATAATAATTTGCACAGGCAGACAAAAGAGTAATTGAAAATATTGAAGAATATTTTGTACATAGCTAAAGTGATAAGAAATTATTTTTAAGTAAATATATTTTGCGAATATTTGATACTAGTTTAAATAGTAACAACTGCAAAATTGTTCCTTATATTATTTGTGTTATACACATACATTTGATAATATTTCTTTGATTCATTGCAGAGTTTTTTTTGTGCAACAAATGAATTTTAGTTTCAATTCTACTAGTATATTTTTAATGTGATAACGAATACCAATTTAAAAATAAATTTTGTTAGCACTGAATTAATTCAAATAATCTTGAATTTCATGAAATTTCTAATCCATGTAACACCAAACGCATATTTGTAGAGCATTCCATCAATCGAATGCAGTGTTTGCCAAATTAGTTTGAATTATTTCAATATTTTTTACCAAAAGACGATTTCTTGTTTGTTTGTCTTATAAAAATAATGAAACTATATAGATTTATGAGTCTCACATCTAGTATACTGGCTGGATCTAGTAAGACTAGTATCAGCAAACGTTGCATTCTTTTTTTGAAAATCTCTTTAGAAAAACATAGTAATCATCATTAAAAATAAATGGCACTTTTTATTTTTTTATTATATAATTAATAATTATGGCTATGATGTGGTTAATAATAAGTGATACTTATTAATGATAAATGTATTAACTGTCCATTTGCTAAAGACTAAAAAGGTTTTCATTGGTGATCTTAATAAACTTATTGTGTATATATTTGTGTATTGTTATTAAGTATAGGTATTAAACTTCTAAGTTTGTATAATAATAGATATCATTATTTGGTAAAACTAAGGTGATTTAGATATAGAGAAAAATATTTAAGAAATCATATAAAACATTTTGTACAAAGATTTATTATTGCTTATCTTGCTTGTTTGCTGCTGTAATGTATAATTTTGTATCGATTTGAATCTTAATCACGATTTTATGATTTGCTCATAATATTTTATATCAATTGCCAATCACTGATTCAGAATTACATTTTGAGCAAATCATTCACAAATCTATTACAATAAATAGTTAAATTAAAATTTGTGACAATGTTGAGCTATTTAAAAATGATGATTTATTTTTATGTAATACCTCAATATTTAAATATTTCTATAATAAAATGTATCAAAAAAGAAAAGAAAAATACTATCTCTCAAATTTTGTTAATAAAGTAGCATAAAGTATCAAAAATTATTATAGTAACATGACGCAATAATTGAATATGTGTGTTTCCTAGTGCAATAATACATAAATGACCGCTTTATGTATTTGGTCCTCTAAATTTATTATTTTGAATTATCTAGATTGTTATGAATAGATGACCAAACGTAAATGTTTCTTAATACATTAGTTCTGTTGTGGAATATTTATTACCTATTTCAACACAAATTATCGCAGGAATGATACAAATGCCTTTAGATATATTTCTTAGATTATATTCGAATCCATAACTACTTCGGTAATAGGTTCTTTACCTAGCATTTAGATTTTTTAAATAAAATTTATAATATATATTTATATTTTAAGCTTGTATATGCAACTAAAATATTGTGTAATACATACATATATAGTAAAGTAATTGTTATTTTATTTTACCTTATGATATTTACCTCAGATAGTTAATAAATATATTAACTATCTAATTATAATATTTATATTGCTATATTATAAGAAATATTACAAGAATTTGAAACTATGTACTTATCAGGTTCAAGATATATATATCTTTGAAATAGATGCAGAATTTAAATAGCTATGATAGAATGAAATTATATACATAATTATAAATTACAATTACATTTAAGACTTCGAAAAAATGTGTACACTTCTATATATTACAAACAAATCTATTCCTTTTATCAAATAAAGTTGCTTAGATTTCCGGTTTGAAATTCGCGCTGTTGATTTTGTCAGATTTTGCTACCAACATAATAATCAGGAACCCTGAAGCTAGTTGTGCGACTCGTCCGCTAGAGGGGAGCGTTATACCCTATTTTCGCTAACTTCGAAAAGTGCAAGTTGGTTGATACACAAGTGAAATGTACAAATATAAAATAAATAAAGTAGTGTTATAAATGAAATTATAGTAATTATCATTAATAAACTTAAAGGTTTAAATAAAAGAATAGTGTTTTTATTATATATTCAAGCGATACGTAGTAAATCGCAAGTCCCAAGTGACATGTGAACTATTTGTTGATATTGAATAAGTCAGACATATTTGTTAATGTTTTTATTTTGTTAATAGTTTGGTATATTTCTTATTCTAAGTGAAATGATATAAAACTGTCAAAATCAAATGAAAATGGATAAATAAAATGATTTTAGAAATCAACTAATAGTGTTTTTAAAATATATTCCAGTAATAACCAGTGTAACGAATGCCATAATTTGCAAATGATATTTTTATATAAATTAGACATATTTGTTAAGTAAATGTGGGAAATAACCACAAGAAATTGCAAAATTTGTATAATAATGAAAAAACATTAGTAACCAATTTGAAATTATAAAATATACTGGTTAAATTTGATATTTGGCATTGATGCTGTCATTGACAAATCAATAATACTACTTGTATATAAATTACAGATATTTTCTTTAAGTAATTTCGTTATTACTTGTAAAAACTGCAAAATTAGAATAGTGATATAAAAACTTTAGTAATTTCAAAATCCCACCTGTGTAGCCTCACCTTAAATAGGTAGCGCCCTTTAAGCAGCGCCTCCATACAATATGATAGAAACTATTCCCAAATTTAGTGATCTATATTTAATAGCTATTTATATTTATCTATGACTTTATAATGTATCATTTATTATACATGTGGTTTGTGAGTGCTATTGAAGTATTTAGGTTATATACTTTTTTCACACGAGTTTTACATTTTTATAGTTGAAACAGGTAATTTTTTTTTCAAATTAATAATTTTACTATTTACTATCGGTTATAAAATATTATAAACCTTGTTTAGATATAAATAAATATCTTATTTTGATTCATATAAGGAGAAACCTTCCTAAAACTAATAAAGATCATTTTTTAGTTTTATAGAATAATAAAATTTTCTGTAATACTACTCGTGAGATGATAACATTACTAGGTGTAAGATTATAATATGCCTTAAGGCAAGTTGCATAAACTTACCAATATGGATTGGGATTATTTACAGGTTAATCATTGTTCTTCGGATATTTCTATTATTTCAAACAATTAATTTTAATTGTATTGTGCAAGAACCGATTTCTGGCTTCTTTTCGTACAAAATCATTCTACATCTGAATTCATTCATATTATAGCTAGTAGTAATAGCTTATTAAATTATTATAAATAATTTATTCTGATTCATATAAGGAGAAACCCTATCAAAGCTATGGAAAATCAGCTTATACTTTCCTAGAATAATAAAATATTCTGTAAGACTGTTTGTGAGGTGATAACATTACTAGGTGTAAGTGGCATCATAATATGCCTTAAGGCAAGTTGCATAAACTTACCAATATGTATTGGAATTATTTACAGGTTAATTATCAACTGTAGTCTTTGCATATCTCTGTTGAATAAAAAAATATTTCAAAAACATGTTTTTTTAAATTTTTATTTAATTGTTCAAGGACCAAATTCTCGTATCTTTTCGTACAAAATCATTCTAAATCTGCATTCATTCATACTATAGCTAGTGGTAATAGCTTTTATCTTGCTATCACATGGGTCCAGAATCAAATCCTGCTTTGAATTAGGCTATTTCTATTATTTCAAACAAATATATTTTTTAAATTTTTATTTTATTGTTCAAGGACCAAATTCTAGTTTCTTTTCGTACAAATTCATTCCAAATCTGTTTTGTTCTTGCCACCACAAGGTTCCAGATTCAAATCCTGCTTTGAATATCTTGATATTTCACTTCAAAATATAGATCATATTATTATATCAAGTAAAAATAGTAATTTTCATTATGAATTTATACTGATTTTAACATTTTCACAATGGAATTCTAATAAAATATACCA